AAAGCATTTAAAAGGATTTTTATGGATTTTACCGACTGAGTTGTCATATCCGTTAACCCTAAGTGTTATCCTTCCGCACATTGAGGTCTCACATTCCAACACAGTAGGTAGCGAAAATGCACCTTAAGCTGGTTTGCCACTCGCCATTAAACCAAAAAGGAGAAGTTGTGTTGATTCTATAGTTGCTATGGTAATGCAATTATTAAAATAATATACATAAATGACCCAATACTGTGCTTTTTAAAAATATAAGGTTGCGTTTAGGGGCGTGGTTTTGTGCCACGCCTACTTAAAAAAATAAATAAAAATAAATACTAAAATTTTACAACTGAACTTATACGAATTAGACACAAAACATAAAATAGTTAAATTCCTCGTAAGATCAGGCTGGTTATTCACTACGAACAAAAGAATATCTCCAAAAATGACGCATTCTCATGGCAATTTGTAACTTTTTGATATAGTAGCTAATTCGCATGCATTCATACAATTTTATTCATACATTTTACCACGATTTGCTTATCCCCAATGATGGTTGCATTTAGAGGCGGAGTTTGGTGCAACACCTACTTTAAAAAAAATACAAATAAATTAAATACTAAAATCATACGAATTAGACATAAAACGTAAAATAGTTACGTTCTTCGTAAGATCAGGCTGGTTATTCACTACGAACAAAAAAAATCTCCAAAAATGACGCAATCTCATAGCAATTTGTAACTTTTTGATTTAGTAGCTAATTCTTATGAAGTTATACAATCCCATTTAAACATTTAAGCATGATTTGCTAATCTCCAATGATAGTTTCATTTAGGGGCGGGGTTTGGTGCCATGCCTACTTAAAATAATTTAATAAATACTAAAATTATACAACTGAACTCATACGAATTAGACACAAAACGTAAAATAGCTATGTTCCTCATAAGATCAGGCTGGTTATTCACTACAAACAAAAAATATCTGTAAAAATGACACATTCTCATGGCAATTTTCTAATTTTTGATTTAGTAGCTACAAGTTATACCATCTTATTCATACATTTTACCACAATTTGCTTATGCCCAATGATGATTGCTTTTAGGGGCGGAGTTTGGTGCAACGCCTACTTAAAAAAAAAAAATAAATAAAAATAAAATTTTACAACTGAACTTATACGAATGAGACACAAAACGCGAAATAACTCCGTTCCTCGTAAGATCAGCCTGGTTTTTCACTACGAACAAAAAATATATCTAAAAATGACGCAATCTCATAGCAATTTTTAACTTTTTGATTTAGTAGCTAATTTTTATGAATTTATACAATATCATTCATACATTTTAGTACGATTTGCTTATCCCCAATGATGATTGCGTTTAGGGGCGGGGTTTGCTGCCAAGCCTACTTTTAAAAATCGCACATTGAATTTGCACGAATTAGCCACTAAACACACAAAACGAAAAATAATTACATTTCCTTGAGAGATCGGTCTGGTTATTCACTAAAATATCTCTAAAAAAAAACATCATGCTACTGTTTGTTACTTGTTAATGCAGAGCTTGTGAAACGACCTCTGAACCTGGAGGTTAAAGACGGAATTGACTGTTCTCCTCATTGTTTTGTGATTTCCTGAGCCCATTGACTTCTGAACTAAAGGTCAGACGGTCTAACATCACAAGCAATACGAATAAAACATTTCCAATGGGGAAATGAGTCCTCTCCACCATCTAAAACAGAGATTTGAATATGACCTTTCAGTCCTTTCTCACGAAACAATTATCAGAAGTGATTCTGCTAGAAGAAAGGTTATTTTTTCCCTCGGTTTATAAGCTTCTGTCTCTGTCTGAACACATGCTGTCAGATGTGAATCATAGCTGAGTCATTTCAGCTGTCATCTTCTCACATTTCTCAAATCAACAGTCTGCTGTAACATACACAGAGCAGCGTCAACTTTACTCAGCAGGTAGTTTAATGGTTATAATGTGCCTTTAGATGCTCTGTTAATAACAGCAGACTATTTACAAAGCTCTTCTCCATGCTGCTGTGTGTCTGAAGTTTTCATTATCAGCCATGTTATCTTGTTATAATTTCTGAGAGCTTTGTATGATTAAGACGATGCGGTACCAGGTGAGCTACCAAGCAAGTTTACAATGCCAGACACAAATAGAGCTGGATGTGTCAGAAACATGTCAAATTATGTTAGTTTACAAATCATGCACTATGGTCAACATGTTCAACATCACAACATGTATAAAATTGTACCTATTAACGTACAACAGCCATCTTTAATGTATAATATTTTGGTTACAAAATTACTATAAGCCCACATACAAAAATAATAAAGTAATTTATAGTAAATACTGTAGTGTTTTTACCATACTATAGAATTGATCTGTTGTGATGATTCTTTAGTTGCTATGGTAACACAATGAATACAGTAATTATTCTGATGTGGTAATTTTGTGGTTGCTAAGATAACAACGACTACAGTAATTGATCAGATGTGGTGATTCTATAGTTGCTATGGTAACACAACAACTACAGTATTTGATCTAAAGAGGTAATTCTATAGTTGCTATGGTAACACGACTACAGAAATTGGTCCGATGTGGTGATTCTATAGTTGCTATGGTAACACAACAACTACAGTATTTGATCTAAAGAGGTAATTCTATAGTTGCTTTGGTAACAAAACTACAGTAATTGATCTGATGTGGTGATTCTATTGTTGCTAAGGTAACACGACTACAGCAATTGATCTGATGTGGTAATTCTATAGTTGCTATGGTAACAACAACTACAGTATTTGATCTAAAGTTGTAATTATATAGTTGCTTTGGTAACACAACAACTATAGTAATTGAGTGGTAATTCTATAGTTGCTATGGTAACAATGACAACAGTAATTGATCTGATGAAGTAATTCTATAATTGCTATTGTAAAACAACGACTACAGTAATGAATCTGATGTGGTAATTCTAATGTTGCTATGGTAACAGAACAACTATCGTAATTAACTTGTGTTGATTATATAGTTGCTATGGTAACAGAACGACTACAGTAATTGCTCTGATGTGGTAATTCTAAAGTTGCTATGGTAACACAACGATTACAGTAATTGATCTGATGTGGTAATTCTAATGTTGCCATGGTAACAGAACAACAATTGTAATTAACCTGTGTTGATTATATAGTTGCTATGGTAACAGAACAACTGCAGTAATTGTTCTGATGTGGTAATTCTATAGTTGCTATGGTAACACAACCCAACTTTAGTGTATATTATACTACATTACACTATCGTTTACTGTATAGTATTTATTACAGTTGATCAGTTCACTATAGTTAATGCTAAACTAAAGCATTCATTAACAAAGTATTGTCAATACTACATTATAATTGACTTTACATTACAAAAAGACTATAGTAAAGTTTTTAGACCCATTTTAGAGCCATAGAGGTACAGTTATAGCTTTTGTACCTCCATTACACCTTTTTTTTCTAACAGGAGTTTATTAAGCTTAATAAAAGTTGTGTTTCAGTTCTTTTAGTTTTCATTTCAGCGAGTATATATTTCCAGAGAGCCCTGGTTGTTTATTTCAGTTTGCTTCTGAACATCTGTTGACAGCATACAGACAAGCTTAAGACATGCTGAGACCATATTACAACAGAACAGAAGTGCTGGGAAAGTGTTAAAAATAAAGCACAGATGGGCTTGTGCAGAACAACTGCTTCCCTCAAATCTGAAATAAATAAATGAGTTTTCCAACCGTTCACTCAAGTGAAGTTAAACTCAGCATGTAATCTAAATTTGCTCTTTAAAATTAGTTATATGTGTATATAGTAGTGTTTGCTATAAACTATATGCATCTCAGCACTTCAAGCTTTTGGTAAAAATATGTCTTGCCATCAAAATCTTTAATCATGAATTATTAATTATGGTATTAACCTTCCCTACCACAATTGAAACAACTTTTGTTGACTTCTGGTCCGTTAGGGCGGGGCTATCAGGCATTTAGGGCGGGGTTATCACACATTTAACGTGGAGCTATCAGGCACTTAGGGTGGGCCGATCAGGCATTTAGGGTGGAGCTATCAGTCAATTAAGGGGAGAGCTATCTGTCATTTAGGGCAAGGCTGTCAGTAATTTAAGGTGGGGCTATTAGTGATTTAAGGTGGGGCTATCAGTCATTTGGGGTGGAGCTATTAATTAATAAGGGCGGGGCTATCAGTAATTTAGGTTGGAGCTATTGGTCATTTAGGACGGGGCTTTCAGTCATTTAGGGAGGGGCTATTAGTTTTTTTGGGGCGGAGTTATCAGTCCTTTAGGGCGGAGCTATCAGTCCTTTGGGGCGGGATAATCAATAATATACAATCAAGCTATCGGTACTTTAGGGCGGGTCAGTGAGTGATTGGATGTAGTGGTTGAACTGCGTATTGCAGTCTACATTTTTTTAAATCAGAGAGGGTTTTTTCACTGGGCCACTCCTCCTCTGACATGATGCACACACAGGTTGCCAGATTGATCACAGAAGCAAGCATGCCTGATTATTAAGCTGCACAGATAATCTTTACATTTGTAATATTGACATTATTTGCTCCTAAAATAGCACCTCACTTGGATTTGTGTAACTCTGAATCTGTTTCTCATTTGAGAGGCTACTATTGTACTGCTGAGGACATGTTTTTATGTATACATTGAGACATCCTTCAAGACTGAAATGAAATGCAGAGTTTTTCCCACCAAGGCAACCCGGGGTGCTGAAGTCGAATTGGTTAAACAGGCAGTGGGCTGGTTATAGAGACCAAAACAAAGACAGACATTCTGACACTGAACACACATTTACAGGACTTTAGTGTTGTTTTTCAGACAAACAAGCGTGTTTACTTAGCATGTTTCTTAAAAATCTGCAAACAGATGCTTCATAAGAGTCAAAAATGTACATATAGCAGCTTTAGTGTGATGCTGTGCTGGGTTATTTTCGGCTGAACTCTAAAGTCACATGACCTTTCTCTGCAGCTGTTAACCAGTCCCGCCGCCTTGACTTACCAGGTACGTTGAGACCGGCCAATGCCTTCTGTCCTCTCCTTTTTCCTTCTCTGTGTTCCTCAAAGTCTGGCTTATCACTAAAGCTTCATCCAAAATATCTGAACAGCATCCTCAGCGTCTCCTCTAAAGGCCTTTAAAGGCACGTGAGACCCGTGGAGAGAATGAATGAACGATGCTCCTTCAGACGTGTTGGATGTGGCCGGTGAGAGCTGTCGCAGTGAGTTTTACAGAGACACCAGTGACCAGCGGCTGCCATTAATGCGACTGTCTGTCCGCTTATTTCACTGTGCTCATCAGAGTTTAGCATCATGTTAAACTCTGAAACTGATGAAGGGTCTTGTTGTTACTGCAGTGGCTTTATATTTGAGCTCAGGGTTGTTAAAGGTCCCGTGAAGTGCTTTGAAATATATATATATTTTTTTATTTGGTGTTTGGCAGTCTTAACTGAAACATGAATAGAGGGTGGGGCATATGTTAGCCCCTCCCCCTTTTTAAAGGACCCAATGGGGTTTGTTTTTATCACAGCTCTGTAAGTGAGAGTGGTTGAGATCAAGTGCATCAAATGAACAGAGGAAGGGGGCGGGGCATGTCATGCACTAGAGAACATCTGATTGGCCAGAAGATTTGATGAGAAACAGAAGTATGATTTGACCTGATAAATATCGTAGAGTCTTTTAGGAGGAAGTGACAAACTGCAAACTTTAGATGTCTATATGAGGTTTACATCTTGAATTTTGTCAGTGTTTTGTAGCTTAGATATCCTTAAAACTAACAATACTGTTACTAACATTTAAATATCTATATTTCACGGGACCTTTAATGAGTTGTTTCTGCTGAATATGAACACGCTTTCATCAGTTACTCACCTTCATGTGGTTGGAAATCACGCCAGAAGAAGATGCTTTGTTGAATGTTTTGCTTTCTACACTCCATACAGCATCAAGCACACATAGAAAAATACAAGTACAAGCCTCCAAACTTCCAGAATTGCGGGTCCATTCAGTTATCTTTCATTAATTTGCCTTAAACTAGACTGATATAAAACCAACGTATAAATAACTGTGAGTGTTGAGTTTACACATAATGGGTGAAAAACATTAACACTATCAGAAGTGTAACTTTTACACTCTACAGCTGTGGTGGCCAATCCTGTTCCTGGAGATCTACCTTGTGCAGAGTTCAGCTGTAATTCTGATCAAACACAACTAAAGCTGTGGTCACACTGGACTTTTATTGCCCATAGACTTTTATTCATATGCATGTGAACGCGTCAGACTGAAAAACGCAAGCATGCGTGACAAGTTTTGCAGTTCGCTGCATTTGAAAGTTCAAGCTTGGTGAACTCTGACCTGCCAAATCGCACACATGACTGCGTGAGACCTCATGAAACATGACCTCTCTGGACAGAAATGTAAAAAAATGCACCAAATCGCTCACTTTTTTTTTAAATGTCTAATGATCTTGTTTGACCCCGCCCCCTTTTAACAGCGCCATATAACAGAATTCCACATGCTCGATCTCTAGTGTGACGCAGTGTGAAGGAGCACTTGGTAATTGCAGACAGGTGTGTTTGCAGTCAGGTTGCTCTGCACAGGGCTCATACACATTTTAACTACTAAAATTTCATCAGTTTTCCATGATTTTTTTCCAAGAGTTAAGAAAATTTTATGACCTAGTGTTTCATGCAATGTCTACATATGGGTGGTAAAAGAAAGACGTTGCATGTTTAAATTGATTTCAGCATATCGTAAAACACGCAGCAATTTATTTAGTTTTAATTTATATTTATATCTAAGTAAAATTGATTTAGATAATGCTTACACAGCACTAATAATATAAGAGATTGTGATTGGCAAAAGACAGAACAGAAGTAAACAACCTCAATACAAATATCTGCTTTCCATGACTTTTCCAAAACTTTGTGGGTTTTTTTTTTTTTTTTGTTTTGTTTTTACAACCTTTTCCAGGCCTGGAAAATGCCATGTCAAAATTACATGACTTTTCCAGGTTTTGCATGACTGTATGAACCCTGTCTGCAGGAAGGCAGATCTCCAAGAACAGGATTGAGCACCCCTGCACTACAGTGTGGACACTGTACACACACACACACACACACACACATTACCGGTGTTAAATTTAACACCACAGGTGTTATTTTTATACTGGCGACTATTTTTATATTGGAAACTTATAGAATTAATGTCATTAAAATGATTAATTAGTGTCAGCCAAAAGAAAAAAACATGTGTTTGCCATCAGAAAAATAATTATTTAATGGATTTTCTATTTTGAAGAGTTTGTATGTTAAAAAAAAAAAAAAAAAAACAAGTATGGCTAAAACTATTAATTTGTTTTTCTGTGATTTGGCAAAGTGGAAATTAGTGTCTGAAATAATAAGATTTCAGTGTGAAGGTATTTATTTAATCAATGATAATCTTATTAATGTACTTAAAGAAACAGTCCACCCATAAATGAAAATCCTGTCATCATTTACTCATCCTCCAATTGTCCCACACCTGTTTGGCTTTCTTTTTTCTGTTAAAGACAAAATAAGATACTCTGAAGAATGATGGAAACCGGTAACCATTGACTTCCATTGTTTTCTTAGTTGCTACTATAGAAGTCAGTGGCTTTGAGTTTCCAACATTCTTCAGATATCTTCTTTATGACCAAAATGAACCTGTACAATCACTTAAGGGTAAACAAGCAATCAGTAAATGTTGATTTTTGGGTGAGCTGTGCCTTTAAGGTGTCAAATGCTGCAATTATGTTCATTTATGCGCTCATTTCAATCACTATGAGTTACTGTATATGCAGGAATGTGTCTGTGTGTGTGTCTGCCTGTGTGTTTATGAATGTGCTTGATCTGAGAATCTTATGCATATGATCATACTGATCAAGTCTGTCCATCATCAGCTCCTGTTTCACATAGATATAGAAAGTGTGAAGGAACACACATAGAAATCTGATATACGGCTATATGAAAATAACATATATGTCTTGTCCATATTTGGATATATATATATATATATATATATATATATATATATATATATATATATATATATATATATATATATATATAATACAAATAAGTACATGACATATATGTTATTTGCATATATATCCATATATCAGATTTCTATGTGTCATGTAAATACTGTCCTCTTCCCTGTTTCTCCAGCTGGCTGCGCAGGTGCTCGATGGTCTGGATGACGAAGACATCGGGTTCGGCCTGGTGGATTCAAAGAAAGACAGAGCGGTCGCTAAAAAGCTGGGTAATCTGTCTTATACTGTAAATAATATAATCCTCCAAATGAATATAAATGTTGAGTGTTAATGTAAACGCTAATGTGTAGAGCGTTTAGATGTTGATCAGATGTTGTCTTCATCAGGTATGCTGGAGGTGGACAGCATCTATATATTTGCCGATGATGAAATCATTGAGTATGATGGAGCTCTGGCGGCCGATACACTTCTGGAGTTTCTCTATGATGTGAGTCTTTATGAAATGTCAAATAAACATCCTTTATACATACATATACATTATATATATATATATATATATATATATATATATATATATATATATATATATATATATATATATATATATATATATATATATATATATATATATATATATATATATATATATATATATATATATATATATATATATATATATATATATATATATATATATATATATATATA